GAATAAGAACACCAAGGACAACGACATCGCTGTTAAATTCTCACATAACGGATGCAGTATTTAGGAATTCTTCGGTGCCCATTAATATTGTACCTACAGTAGATAATCTTAATGTTACCCTGGAACGTACATCGAGAGAAAATTCAAGAAGAAGACCGGGTTTGGTTATACACAATGAAAATGGCGAATTAGATGATGATTTTCTATATGATACCGCCAATATTGAAGATGAGACTAATACTGGAGCCGAAAATAATAAAGTGTATTCTCCGCCTATAATAAATGGTGGTGTTATATTACGCAAGGAATTGAAGGAGAAACAAAAGTTGTCGAAAGAGGAAGCGCAATCATGGGATGTATTCGATGAAGCACGTAAGTGTAAGGTTGGTCCTGAAAGCCCAAACGTGGTGAAATCTATAGCTCAGAAAATTGAAGAACCAAGGGCAAGAAGGAGACGGAAAAAGCTTTCTAATTTACCTCACCCTAATCCTGAATTAATAGAAGGGACATCAGCAAAATTGCAAAATGTTCCTGAAAAAAAACAGGAAAAGACAAGAATTTCTAGTTTAATTAGTCAACTTCGTTCACAACAGACAGGATGCAAATATGAACGAAAAATGACTCCTAGTCATGGAAATCCTACCACCCTCGATGTTTCCACAGGAATATCACTTAACCCAACTGAGTCAATTTCAGGGGATAGTGGAGCTCTGTCTGACAGTGAAACTAAATCTCAAAGAAAAAAAGCTTGTATTGATAAGCCAACTAATATAGAATTATCACTCGAGCAGAAGGTGGAAATTCAAAAACATATTCGAAATAACTTGAGGCCTCTATATCGCCCAGGAGAATCCAACCCAAGTCATTCTCCCACGATTAGATCTGAGGAGATATATATCGAAATTAACAAGAGTGCATCAAGAAAGATATATGCACATATTCTATCGTTGATTACAAGTGAGACGGGCCAATTGAAATCTTCGATACTTGTAGACTATTTTAACGAAGATGAAACAAAATTAAAATCAATAGTTGAAAAATTCGTTCAGGATGAATTGAAATACTATAAATGGTAAATTTTTATCTACTGATTATTCATAATGTATATAATGTATATAATGTAATGACTTACGCTTATTTTAATTATTTCTACCTACGACGAGGTCCCTTTGGCTTAGTAAATTTCAACCCATTTCTTGCCTTAGGAGCAGTGTCTTTATCTTCATTCAGTGAGCTGTCAAGTTCCTTCACTTCTAATTCATCTAAATCACCAATCTCGAAAATTTTGTCAATCAGTAATTCATCAGAATCGGTAATGCCCCTTAAGTGGTTAATTAAGCCTTGTTTATTTGAGGCGTAAACCATTCTATCCTTAACCTTAGAACCAGAAGGACATGAATATATGAATGCAAATTTATTAGTGGAATAATTGAAAAGTGCAAAAAGCGGATGAACAGACCGTGTTTCAATTGCAGATTTTAAGTTACTCACCAAAGATGACGAATTAACACCCGTAGTCTCTGAAATCAATTCCATTCCTTCGTTTTTCAAATCAATACCAAATATTATTAATTTCCCGTTACCACTATTTTGAGACAATGCCTTAAATTCAGATTCCAACTTCGAATCAACGCTAAACATCAATACACCTCCACTTGACGAAGAAGATTCGTGCATAGATGCCAACTTCTTCTTGTAAGCATTATCATTGTTTCTTTTAGCACTTGATTCAGCTAATGCTAACCCCTGTAACGAATTGACTTCTTTCAATGTCTTTTCTTCATGGGTTAAAGGACCGTCCTCTTGTTCCTCAGATAAGCGTTTGAAATTATCAAAACTAAGTTCGTCTAGCTCCGTCCATGCAAATGTGTGTGATTTACTAAAATTGTTCGATCCCAATTGAGTTAATAACGTATTTTTAGTAGATGCATAAAGCATTTTTTCACGAATTGGTGCAACATCAGGGATAAAACTAATGAAAGCATAATCTGCATTAGAATTCAGAGATGATGAAACCGAAAATATAATATAAACCGGATGTGGGTATATTCCCGAAACATATTTGTTCAATTCTAACAATATTTTTGATGTATCTGTCTCCGTAGATTGAAATTCATCATCAACAATTAGTTGTGTATTATCAGATGAAACTTTAATTACCAATGCACCGCTTTTGAAGTTCTTAAATGCATCTAAGAGTTCTTCTGATGACACTATACCTGATTGAGTCGACATCGTACTTATTATGAAATCTACTTCAAGATAAATTATAAAATACTATGGCCTAAGCGGGCATTGTATTAGGGACAATATTCAAATCTGTGGTGTTATCAAAATGACACAAAACCTCTCTACATAGATTAATATAAAACCCGATTCCACTTAGAACAAAGGATTCTAACAAGTTCAACTTCTAATTTTTGTTGCTATAGGTCTAGGACTTACATTCTCATCGAGAATTATATATTTGTTTCAGTGAAAGTGTTATATCTGGTTTAAAATTGACTTAAATAGCCCGAGAATTTACGAGCTGATCTAGTGTTTACATTAAAACACAGAAATATATACAATTGGATAGAAGTCAATGTTTATTAATAATGAACTTTTTGAATCTCTTTAGTACAAGTGCTAATAAAACTGCTAAGATTCCTAATTTTGAACAGGGAGAGGGTCACGATTCAGTCGATTTGCAAGTGAAATCGTTATTGTATGTTTTCAAGAGGTTGAGACTTAACAAGCTTTCTTCGTTTCTAGGAAAAGATGGTACAGTCTATAGCTTCAAATATGTTGACGGTGACAAGCAAATAAATAGTGACTCTGAAGTTCATAACTATTTTCAAAAGCTAGATGCAATGTATAATGTCGAAAAATTCAAGCAGGTAATGATTAATGATGAATACAGAGTCATGGTTGATTTTACTAAAAACAAATTCAGATCGTTTTGCATCCTCTCCGAATATCCGAGTAAAAGTACATTATCCTCCCAAGGAATAGATAATGGTGAATTCCCTGACTTTAAGGACTATAAAGATAGAGACGTAAAACATTTCAGATTCTCTATTATGCCTTTACAAAATACTTCAATTGCATTCATTGCTAATACATTATCAACATCAGACATATATGTTGAACATCATCACAAGATTGATTTTAGTTGTCGTTATCAGTATGCGATGGATTCAATTAGCAAAGTTCTCAACATGGAAAGAAACATGTCTGATATAGATTCCTCAATATCTATTACAGATGCTGAAAAGGCGAGCATAATTCAATATTATTTAAAGAGGGTGGCATTTTTCGTCCAATTGAATCGCATATACGTAGAATATTTAAAACATCATGCAACGAAGGGTTCCCCAACTAAAGTGTCTGTTTCTATATCACCATCTAAATCAGTCTCAAGTTTACTGCAGTCATACGTATCATCCAATTCTAAGCTTACGAATTCAATGTCAAATCTATCATTAGCACCATCCCCTCCCAAGCTATCACCAAGAAAATCGATGGCTGACCTTAATAAGAGCAGATCACCTTCACCGACGAGAACATTGAAGAGTAAGCCATCAGTAGCGAGAATGAAGATGGATGAAGTATTCAATAACTCTATAAGCACCACTCCAATTCAAGCTCCGAAATTGTCTAATAACATTATTGATTCCTCTAAATCCGATACAAGCTCAACAACGTTTAACGATGATATTGCTCTAATTTCACCGAAAAAATTACCCGAAGTCGCTACAGAGATAAAGTCGGATGTTTGGGAGAAGTGTAAATTAGCCGTAAGGGATAAATTAGAACAAGAGAGAAAGAAATTGTCTAGCACATCTTCAAACATTTCGCTTCATGAATAATTGTTCTATATCCATATTATTGATTTGGTCCAGAGCAGGACGTTATCCTCATAGGACACAGGCTTACACATATTAAGAATCTTCCAGTTTAATTTGCTAGATATTTATTTTTGCATAAACATAACATGAGTTAAATACTTGAAGAAATTAGAATAGAGAATAGTAGAATAGAGAATATAGAAAAGTAGAATAGTACAACGTAAGATTAGTTTCTTTCCCGTAAAAATGTTGCACCCATTCGCGAATACAGGACAACATAAATTTTACTCCCAAAATTTATTGTATTTTAACTCTTTTTATCTACCTACGATGATATCAAGAAATATATTAAGGCAATCATGCTACAGGATGCAGAACCGATATTTTTCTTCTTCCGCTTTGTTATCTAATTTATTTGGAGGGAAAAAAGTCATAAATCTGACCCAGTTAAATGCTCCAACAGGAAAAGGTGAATCAACGACTAATCCAGCAGATATGATTAAGAGAAACGATATATTGATGTTTTCACAAAAACCTATAAACTATATTGAAACAGTTAAGAGTAATGGATTTCATCTTGCAAACAATTTATTAATAACATCTCCCGATAAAGAAGGAAATATAATTGGTGCATTATTGCTAGAAAGTGAAACATTCGAAATCAACTTATCTAAACCAAACAAGGGATTCGATCTTATAAATGGATTTATAGTAGACTTTCATGAAGATGTGTTACAAATATTTAATAAAATACATCCAAAGCCAGAAATTTGTGTTGTTGGATTAGGTTGTAAATCAAGAATGTTGAGCGATTCAACGAAGAAGTATTTTTCTAATTTGGGTATTCAAGTGGATCATTCTGATTCGAATAATGCTGCACAAATGTTTGATTTATTAGCTACAGAAAGACCAAACGTTATAGCAGCATTGCTATTACCCCCAAACGTCTAATTGTAAATACGAACCAACAGAATATATTAGGATGTCTATGCATAAATATATAGTTGAAATAATTAAGAAATATTATAGATAATGGACGAAAACAACAAGTTCATTATGAAAGAAGTGAATATAGTAAACAAATAATGTTTTGCAAAAAGTAAATAGTCAATAAAAATTTATCACAAGAAAATTGTTTGTATGACCAGTCTAATGAATGTGCGTTTTCTATCATACACTGTCCTCCTCCTCCCTCTTTAATAACACATCGTCGTCCTCATCACTTGTCGACACCGGAATTAATTGCGAATATTGCGATGATTCCTTCTGATTTGCAACCATAGGTCCCATCATACTATGAGAAGGGGTTCCACTCTTTGGGTAAGGTTGATACGAAAAGCTGGAAAGGTTAGAATTGGATGCAAATTGGTTGTCTGATGTAGGAGATATTTCATTAGTAGAGTTGTAAACATTTGAACCATAGTTAACAACATTTTGATGTTGAGGAGTACTCATCATCATCATCATCATCATCATTGGATGTTGCTGCTGTTGTTGTGCATGCAGTAAATTGTGCTGTGCTACTGTTGGTGGAGGTCTTGATGTATTAGGATTTGGGGGTGGCATATTCGACAAAGAATGTTGATGCATGGAATAATACTGGTTGGCGTTTAAATTCTGTTGTGATTGCGGAGAAGGTTTGTCAAACATTTTATCCAAAAAATATTTACCATTCGGGGTTGAAGACAATCCACCTAGTTCAAAAGACGAATGGTCTGTGGATGACATATTCAAGTTACTAGTATTCATTGAGTTACTATTACCTGATATAAGGCTTACCTCTTTTGAGCTTGTATTCATAGATACGTTGTGGTCGTGAGAAGAACCCGTTTTACGTGTACTTTGATAAGATTGCTGATTGGAGACTGGTGCTGTTGCTGATCTGGTTAAGCTCCTTGGTTTGGCATTATCATTAATATGAAACAGTTCGTCTTTGGATCTATTAGTTGATTGTGATCTTTTTAATTTAGGGTTTGCAGGTGCATTGTTCACTTTTTTCAGTTTATTCTTTTTGTTCATCAAGGTATGAACATCAGTAAAAACTATTTGAAATTTATTCATACCAGCTTGCATTTGAGTCTTACTATTACTTTTTGTCTTGGTATTCATAGAACTGGACGTACCCGTCGATTCACTAGACAAATTCTTAAAAACAGCTGGTTTGGTTTTAAGTGGCTTTGACTTCTTCTCGGAAAATACACCCATAGTAGGTTTTAATACATCAACATTATCAGAATTGTTTGCTATCTCTTTCTTAGGAGTTGGACTTGGAGGTAAGTTTTGAGTTGTTGTTGAATATTTGACAGTGACATTTTTTGCATTATCAATATCATTAGTCGTCAAAGGTTTTGATGGCGGCGAATTAACTGCACTTGACATTATAACTGTAGAAGGTGAAGAGTCGGGAATTTGCTTAGAGGGAGTCTCGAAAGATTCCTTGGTTTTCTTTGAATTCTTTGGTATTGGTGTTGATTTACCTTGGTTTTTGTTAATATTCGAAATATCTTTTAAAACTGTTTTTGATGGAGTTTGTAAATTCTGACCATATAACTTGCTTTTACTTATAGATTTTCTATTACCCTTTTTCTCATTTTCTTCATCATCACCTTCGTCGTCTTCCTCTTCATCTTTACTCTCTACTCTATCATCGATGATATTATTTTTTTCATATCTTGCTTCTTGCTTGTTTAAGATAGATACTTTATGAGGCTGCCTTGGGGGAGTATCTATCTGAGTAATGGATCGTTTCAGTGTACTCTTCGGGTCCTGGAAAACAGACTGTTTTAAATATTTTCTTTCGCTTCCAATCTTGAATTTTGATGGAGTGATAGTATCAATATTCTTAATAGGAGTCTGTTTGATTGGAGAGTCCATAAAGAAGTCGGTTAAATGTAATGTTTTGTCATGAAACGGAGTGATATTACTTATTCCATTCATATGGGAATTAGAATTTGGAATATTCAAATTGTGAGTCAAGAATGGGGTTAAATTTAGTCCTTGCGCATAATCAATTTCATTGTTTACATGACCAGACAACACCCCATTGAAAAATTTCCCACTTGGAGTGGAGTTATATGAAATTAATTGATCATTAAATATTGTCTTTGAAATCAATGGAGTCCATCCTGTTAAATTTGAGGGCAACTGATTGTGACTTTTCTGAGCTGATGGGGGCCCGGCCGACGGCTGTGACTGGGGATGTTGCTGATGCTGCAGAGTATTTCCATTTCCAGCATGAGAATTAGTAGGGTTCCGATCCTCTTGCATATCAGGAAACGAGTTATAAATGGCCGGGTCAATCATATGACGTGAGGGGGAAGATTGCAAGAAGTCGTTAGACATCTCGATGTGCAAATATTGTGCAAATTCTAATAGGAATACCTCTACTAATGTCCAACGCAGCCTTAAGAATCAAAAAATCACAGATAACCACCTAGCAAAGATAAATAAAGCGAATGTGCTAGCAATAATAATAAATTATTATACTATGGCCGAGGTGTAGTTTGTAATTTCCAATTAATCAACCACCGTATCTAGTTATATTGTGGTGTAGCAAATGTTCTAAGCTAGTCTCGTGAAGTAATATTCCGGTGTTGAATTGTTATTCTAATACTTATAACAATAATAAGCACCCAATCTAGTATTACTCTATTGATTCTACCTCTGGTAAACTAATCAAAATATCTTCACAACTTTAGGTATTGAGTCTCCTGAAACCTAAACTTAATATCTAGAATAACTATTCAATCGTTCTGTGGTATGTTCTTCAAATTATGTAAAGATGTTTGATAATAATTCCACTATTCGATGCTGATGTAGGAGAAGAAATCCTTGTTTACATTGAGGCCTTTGACGAAAACAAGGGAAGGTCGTGTAATGGAAACTTTTGAATTGTTGCTAATCGTGTTTTTGTGTAATTGTTGCCTTGAGGCTTCGATTGCAGCTAATGGAATACACTATAAAGCATATGAGATGATGCCCAGGGCGATGTACATGAAGAAAGGCCAACAAGCGTGCCGATTCAGACGGTATTTACATGACATGAAATTTAAATTTTGTCAAAAATATCGATAAAAACATTTAATAAAACAATAAGCAAGTATATAACATTTAAATAGTAAAATAAAATTAAAGTACATAAAAGAATATGGGAATTATCATTTATGTAAGAATAGCATTTTAATTAGTACAGATCCCAAATGTCCTTACTGCAGAGATGAACAAAAACTTATAATCTATTGCAAGCCGGGGCAAAAAGAAAAAAGAAGCAACAAAAATACGAGATAATTAAGGATGACGGATTAAAAACAGACAGCCAGGTCAAAAATTAAAAACTGTTCGTTTAAGCAGTAAGTCCGTTTTCGTCTTCCCATTCCTTTTCAGTAACTTGCATGTTTCTAGCATCTTCAGCTAATTCGTCAACGTCGTATTCGTCGTCGTGTTCGTGAGTAGCTAACGATAAGGTTGGTCTGACAACGGCAGAGTCAAAAGTCCAAGAGGCTAAAGCATTTTCAGCATCAATAATGATTTGTTTAGAAGCTTCGTAACCATCGTAGGCTGGTCTGGTTTCACCTGGGGTAACTGGGGATTCGTCCAATAATTCCAATAAGGCCTTACCGTAACCAGCAATAAGAGCAATCTTTTCGGCGTGTTCTCTGGTGGAGTCAAATTGGTAGTTGAAGGCGGTCTTCAACTTTTCTCTCGTGATGTTGGATAATTGGGCTTCAGCAACTAAAGATTCGGCTTCAGCTCTGACCAATTCTTGTTCCAAAACATTAATCTTTGGCGATTGTGGGTCCTTGTACTTCAAGTAAGCAATTTGGTCGGTGATCTTTTGCTTTCTGTCTCTGGATGGTTGGACAGAACCTTCGATGTCACGAATTGACTTGATGGTGATTCTGTATTGATCGTATCTGTCGATGAATTGGTCTTCTAATTCACCAACTTCATAGATTAAGACACCTAACTTGTCAGTGATATCACTGACATCTTCGTCATTACCTTCACCCCAGATTGATAATTGCTTAGCAACGTCCTTTCTTTCTCTTGAAGTAATTTCAATAGATCTCATCAAGTTCTTTTCCATCTTGACTAAAACTGCCAATTTTCTACTCAATTCTGGACCCATAGAACCAGCAGCTTGCTTACGGAAAGAGTGAGAAAGCGAGCCTTTACCAAAAAACTTTTGCTTGGTCGACGAAGTTGGTGGAGGTGGCGATTGTAACTGAGCAGCAGTTGGAGCTCTCGAAGATCTTAAAGAATAAGTTCTATGCATTGTGTACTAGTATTCTTGTAAATTGTTCCTTATGGTTTCTAATTATTTGAAACTATAATACAGAAAAAAATTCTAATATATGAATTTCACAGGGGGAGACTGGGTGTTTTAATTCATTTAGGGATGATCAACCATCACGACCCAATAGGGTGGTCTTACACAAAAGCAACCTTATGTCATGCGGCTATTCACGAATTACTCTGTACGGAAAGATTGTTTACTCTTTACTTAATCGATACAGTTATTAGCCATAAGAGGAAAGAATAAATATGTGAATGAATATATTCTTCCGGGAGCGACTTTATCGACTTCCGGCAAGGTGCGCAGCCACAGGGTGCACGGATGTAAGCATATCAAACTTAATGTCTAATTGTACCGCTTGTGACTTTAGCGGCAGAGAGATCACGAGCTATGCACGCGATATACCTCGGCTAGCAGTTCTCATTATGAATTTTTGAATTTGACGATGCAAGACAAGATGCTTCTTTGAATCATACTGTAATATTATTGGCTTTATGGAATTATCAAAAATATTAATTTTCCGTGCAGTTTCGCAAAAAACCATCAATTGTGATATTAGATGTTACAGCCGTTTTTAATTTTCTACATATATTTTTGATATAAACGATATTCCTATTGATCTTATTATGACATGGTTCAAAAGGGAGATTTTAGCATGTTTGCATCATTACGAGTTACTCTGATTTTTGCGGGTTGCACTTGTATGAGTCTTATTATATTGAATTGTCAATCTTTCGATTCGATATCGGCCTTACACATCGATATGGATTCTGGTGTGGAGATATTCGCTAATGCGATTGCACTTTTCCTAACCACAAAGTAGCTGTATTATGTGATGATTGATAATCCACACTTGTATTTCGTTTACTAATGCATAAATTTGATCCATACTTTCCATGCTTAGTAATTGAGGGTCTCTGTAAACTCTTAAGCAAAATGAAATATTGCAGCAATTTTACTGCGTGGGGAGTGTATTACTAAGTTCTCGGCCTTAAGCACAAACGGTATTGAATATATATATATGGCTTCCGATTCGAGTTAGAATTGAATCAAAATTTATTTACAACGATTAGAATGACTAAACAAGCTTTCATTATAATTGATTTGCAAAACGATTACTATAAAGGTGGGAAGTTTCCGCTAGTGGGGATAGAAGAAGCTACTGAAAATGCCGCGACTCTTTTAAAAGAAGTACGGAAATTGAAAGATGAGTATCTCATCATTCATGTCCGTCATGAATTCTCAGTGGACCCTAAGGATGCACCCTTTTTTGGGAAAGGTACTGAAGGATCCCAGATAAATGAAGCTGTAAAAAATGAGCCTAATGAACTAGTTATCACCAAAAATGAACCAAATGCTTTTGTTCGTACTAATTTACAACAGGTTTTGGACGATAATAAAATCTCTGAATTGATAATTGTGGGAGCTATGACCCATATGTGTGTTCAAGGGACCTCTAGGGCTGCTTCTGAGAAAGGTTATAAAGTGGCTGTCATTCTGGATGCTATCGCTACAAGGGATCTAGAATTTGGCGGTGTTCACGTTCCTGCTAAGCAAGTCGCTGCTACAGTATTTGCGACATTAGCCTTTGCTTATGCTAAAGTGACTACAACAAAGGAACAATTGCAATTGTTGAAGTGACTTCTGACAAGATAATTTTTCATAGACTATGCCAAAAGAGGCCAATATAATGATATATTTCTTGTTGCAGTATGCTAATTTATGACGAAAGATAGGCAATTTTAGTTTTATTCACAGAACAAGCTGCTGCCTATAGATTATTCGACAGTATCTGAACGTTAATTTATGTACTTGACTCATACTTGAAACAGTATATGTAAAACCTAACTTATGTTCAATAGTTCCATTGTAAGTGATAATGTACTATTCTTCTGTGTAGAATGTTTGCCAATGTTAGGCATGAATAGATGTACTATTACTCCCTTAAAAAGGGGGACTTGATGGCATATTTGGGTTACTTACTTCTGATAATATCATGGAAGATAATAATCAAATCGATAGAGATAAACAAATTAAAAAATTGTTAGTATTGAAGCTGCTTCAAATTGTGGTTACAGAACGGACAACAGTATTTTCTCTGATGAAGTAGACACTGAAAGCATGTAAAATGTAACAGATACAACAACAATAATGGAAGAATTTGATTCAACTTGAATCTGGAATTGATTTACTACATCCTGGCTTCTTGTGAATATTTTAGACTAATGAAACAAGTCTGAAAGCTTCTTCTTTAATTTTGCAATTTTTGGCCGATTTTCAGTGGAACAAAAGTTACTGAAAACGTTTTTTGCAACTACTTATCTATTCTTAAGAACATACTCGATTCTTCAGTTTGAGAAGACAAGAGTGATAAATTAATATTATATGACCTGACGTAAAGTTAACTAACGTCAATGAACGAAAGTAATTAATAATAATCTTTCTTTAACTAAAAAGTGTAAAATTTTCAAAAATTTAGAAGAATTAATTTTAATGTAGCGATACCTAAACAATGTGAAAGAAAAGGCTAGAAAGTTCTTAAAGATGATATAGAAGAGTATAACAGAAAGCAGATATACCACACGCATTTGAAATACTTCTTGACAGCTTACGAAGGTTGCATAGTCTTGTTCACGTCAATTTATCACGCGCAAGAACACGCGAAACTTAGTAAAATGCGACGATCGGCCAAAAGCAATTTCTCAATATGAAATGGAAAAAATTTGTCCCGGTGAACAAGGTTGATGCGAAAAGATAAGTTTTTAGATCAAGTCCCGGGCTAAGTTTACAGAAGTTTGTTCAGATACCCACATCCAAATAACCGCTAGCAAAGCAGACTACATGTCATTCTTTGATAAATACAATAGGCTATTGAAAACACACCCTTTTAGGGTGAACATGGTGACAACTGGGCTCTTATTTGGTGTAGGAGATGGAGTAGCCCAGAAGTTATTCCCCCTGAATCACGATCATCTTGACGAAGAAAAACCGAAATATAATGTATACAGAACGATGAGAGCTATGATATATGGTTCGTGTTTTTTTG